TTGGACTTCGATTTCCGTGACTTACCATCTCACCGCACAGCTGCAGCGCCCCAGCAAGCCTAGAAAATGTTTGGCCAGTCAGTCAGTTGAGTGAACAGAATCCTTTGAGTTCAGGCACTCCTTGGGGCCTATGTGCTGTACCGCTCAGACAGCGGCACAAAGCAGAGCCTGGACAAGGCCAGCACTCAGCCCTTGCAGCAGGAGCCTGAATCTTCACCGCGCAAGTCCGTTCTTGAACCTATAGAAGGCTGACCAGTAACCTTCCTAAACAGTTTCTTGCATCCTATCAGCAAGAAGAGAGGAGCCTGGGGCTAAGAAATGCTCATGCTCGCATTGTAATGAGCGCTTTGTTTTCATTGGCAGCTGCAATTTTGACAGGCGTCTTGTTTTGGCTTGTTCTTTCGCTGCAAGAATTGCTTAATTATCCAATATGCCGCCATAAAACCTATACGATGAAGAGAGAGAGAGAGAGAGCGCGCGCACAGAGCTTCAGAATTTAGCCGTCCGTGTTTAATTTCAGCAGAATAATGAGTTCAAGCAGCAGCAGAAAGAGAAGCAAGGGTGCTCTGGTAACTGGCTGCCTGCTGCTGCAAGCCATCCTCTCAAGACAAGGAATCAAGACAAGGAAGCTTGTAGCTCTTGACAGCCACAGATGACGATTTCCAGGATGCTGAGCCTGCAGAGACCTCCACAAGCGAAGCTTTGGAGGCTGTCAAGCAAAAGCTCAACCGAGCCACTGGAAACTTGTTAGAGTTTCTGTTGGACCTCATGAAGGGTAAGTACACTGAGTCATTGCGGGAGCCGGTGAAGGCAAGCGAAAAGATCAGCAAGGCAGTTGCAGCTACGCTGAACCCAGACACACCTTCTTCCAACGAGTTGGTGAAGGCAGTTTCTGTTGTAGTACAGAGCTTTGACACAAGCTCCATAAGTGTGTCGGTAACAGGCTCTGTGCCGGCGCCCTCTTTGCTCACTGCTTCAGCGACTTTGGCATGGCAGAGTACACCGGCTTTGCTGACAACCCTGATTGGCTTCCGAGGTTCACAAGCTATGTGACATGCTTCTATCGCCCGCCAGAGCTATGGAATGCTTCAGAGAAAGATTTGAGGAAGCACCTGGCCCCCAGCGTCGACATTTGGTCGTTTGGCTGCGTCCTCTACGAAGTAGTGGTTGGGGAGGTGCTGACTGGGCCGTCCACCCAGACTTGCAAGGCAGCAGTACAGACATGGCACCAGTCTTGGCCAGTCTTGTGCACGTCTCGCTATCCTTGCCCTGGTCCTGGTCGTATTGCTAGGAATTTCCACAAGCCAACAGAACAAATTCGCCGCAGACTGCAAAAGGCAGACAGAGATTGGCAGAAATTCATTGTCCAGGCTTTGAGCCCAGAGCCCAGCGCAAGGACATGGAGCAAGGTCAGCATTTAGATTGCCTTTCATGGGCAATTTGCAAAGCATTTGAGCAGCTGTCCAAGCAGTCCCAGCTGCCCAAGAATAGGGTTTCGTAGCTGCGCACTTGAATTGCCGAGGGGAATCCGCAAGCAGCAGCAGAGAGTTTTCAAACAGAGTGAGCGAGGATCGTTTTGCTCATTTAGTGTGTTTACTGAGCCCTGAGCCCTTCACTTTTCAAGATTTGTTTGCAAGTCAGTTCCAAGCAATGAGAAGCAAGGCAGGCCGACATTTGCACATTTCCACCATTGTTGCCATCACGCCCAGGTCATTTCTTTGCAGCGGCTGCTCTGGAGCGAGATTTTTTTGTGGAAAAAGATTTGCTGCAGTGACCACTTGTTTTTCAATTAAAAATCCCCTGAGTCCTCAGATATTTTTTGCAACCGCTAGAATGCCAAACCAGTTATTGTAATTAATCCAATCCACCTATTAGAAAACACGGCCCCCCCCTCTAATAAGGAAACCGGTTGCATTCTTTTTAATAGGGGGTCCCTGAAATCGGGGGGTCCAAAATAGGGTCACCTGGGAAGAGCTTCAAAACCAAAAAGTCAACCAGTAAACTTGTATATATATAAAATCCTTTTATTGAACTCGTATCAAAAATTCAAGTAACCTCCGGATCGAAGGGTCTTCCTTTTCCCCTACAACAACTTTTATTAGAATAGTGATTCTTCAGTAGACTAACAACTAAAGCATTCGAAAGGTGATGTCGCTGTGCCATGCGGTTTTGCATGACCTCGGTGGCAAGTGCGATTGCGTGAGTCCGTGCCAGCGGAGGGTGGGAGAACCAGGGTCTCGACGACGCCGACGACGCCGCCTACTACTACTACTACTACGACTACTACTACTACTACTACTACTACTACCGCCGCCGCTACTACTACTACTAGGTCAAGAGGGAGTTTTTGGAGAACCTAATTCAAAAAAACTCACCCAATATCGGCCATGTTGGTATAAGTAGCGGCTTGAAAGGGCGGTAATTTAAACAACAAACATAAACCGTATTTAGGGGTTTCCGACATGATTTTTCTAATAGGGGTCCGTTTTTAATAGGTACTTCGGATTAGTTAGTTAGCTAGTCAGTTGTGCATACTATAGTTGAGTCAAGTTAAGTGTATACATAGTAAATTAGTAAGTTTGTTTTGCAGAAGGTGCGCGCTTTTGGGTTCCCTGACTACATAGTTTCCAGATTAGGCAAATCAGGCAAATTTATCAAGATGTCAGAGCTTTACGGAGTGTAAATGGCAAGAGCAATGATATTGAAAACTTCCACCTGAGGGGGGATCTAAACTTGTCAGGCGCCCGATTGTCATTCAGGGGTGTGTTCACCTATGAACCCAATCCATCTTGCTGAAGAGAGGAGCACAAGCCGTCTTTGTGAGTGGGCGGTGGTTGACTGTGGACTGGATGACAGTGGCCAGGGGTGTGAGTATAGGCAACGGTTAGCGGTCATTGTCCGTGGCTGCTCGAGTATTGTTCCGGCAGCTAGTACACCCCTAGCTTCTCTTCTGCCTTCTGTTTTGCCTTCCCTTCTGCCTCCTTCCCCTTCCCTTTCCACCTTTCCTCCCTTCTCTTTACCTTTACCTTCCTTTCCTTTACCTCATTCCCCCCTCCCCCTTCTCAGATTCTCCTTTCCCTTCTGCTTCTTTTGCCCTGCCTCCCTCCTTCCCCAATTGCCCACACCCTTTCTCCTTTCCCTTCCCTTCTCTTCCTCTTCTTTGCATTTTTTGGTATCTTCTATTTGAAGTGGCTCGGGGTTTGGCCTCTCTCGGTTTTCACCAAGGTTGTGTCCGGATTTTTTCCACCTGACCCTCTTCTATTTGAAACCCTCCCGGCGGCAAATTTCCATACCCTTCAAACAGAAGATTGGCGCAAACCATTTTTCTATAATAGATGTGCGTACTATATATGACCCCGGATGAAAGCCATCAGGCACGCCGACCGGGTCGGCGGATTATGCGGCGTATGGTGGTTTCTTTTTTGCAGCGTGCAGATGCGTGCGACTGGTGCCCAGGATAGCATCAAAGCCACAGTCGCCTTTCCCAAAGCAGAAGCCAATGGCACCAAAACTCTTGGCGTTCCATGCAGACCAGCCAGACTACAAGGAGTACTGCGACCCAGCCTACTTGCAGAACCCCTTCGCCTTTCCTGACAGCGAATCCATCACACAGACCAATCCTTGTTTTCACGTGTTTAATTCTCAACCTGCTCAGCTCCAGCCGGAGCCGAAGACGCCATTGCTGAAAGGGATCACAGAGCAGGCTGGAAAGAGAAGAAAGGGCAAGCAGTTTGCAGCAAAGCCTGCGGTCTATCATATTCTATCAGTGCGGATGAGGTAGAGTTTTCCGTGTGTTGTGGCCACGGTGTTCCAAGCCAACGAAAGTGTGTAAGTAATCTTCAGACTTGAAATTCGAAGTGTTTGGGAGGCATAAGGTCGGGATATTTTCGAAAACCAGGTTTCTCTTGAATTTGTACTAGGTTACGGACGGCCAACACTCGCTGGGCCTTTTTCACAGAACCTATTTCGAGAAGGGGAACACTGGTGGAGATGAATGCGCT